TGAGGCTTTACTTTTTACTGGCCAAGGTGTGTATACTATTTTTCTGCTCGACGTAGCCGGAATGTGGCAACTTTGTTTAGCGCAGCGGCCAGAAAGTTGCCACTTTCCGGCCGGAGGGCAGAAAAAGAAATTTTACATGTGATCTGAGACTTTTCTTATTTTACTGGCCTAGGTACGTAATATACTATTTCATTAAAATTAAAAATTTGAATACGAAAATTCATTACTATAATTTAATCGTTACCTTACATTATTATTAATTAAAATAATTTAATTTACAAAAACAATAAATAGTCAACGTTTGACTCAAGTATTTTTTCACAAAACTCGGACTTGACAACACCGCGCTTAACAGCTGTTTATATTTATCTCACTGTGTAGTATTGAGTTGAAAAATATAATCCATAAAAATACACAGGAATTATTAAAATTCAAAATTCACGCGTTCTATTCTGTGCAACGTTGCCACACTGCGCTGAATCACGTGGTTTATTTATTTTTAAATATGTCGGCCTGAAATTTTCGTGAATTTCTCATCTTTTGCATTAAAATATCTTTAAAAGCCTTCGTCAGAAAATTTTTATTTTATTTTTAACGTATTCTATAAAAGTTGATTGACTGAAATAGATGTTTTTTGTTTTTTAATCTTCCTATGAGGTAGTCACATAAATCGATATATGTGCAATCCGCCAATAGTCTCTATAGGCTACATGTTAAATTTCAAATTTTTAATAATTTATTAAAGAATAACCCTTCGTCAGATCTATTCCAAAAAATTAATTTAGACGTATGAGATAGCAATTCATAACATATCAAAAAATTAGCTTCTGATCTTCAGAAGTGCATTAGTGTCCGTACAACCTTAACGCCAAAAAGAGTGACTTTTTATGGGCTGCTCGAATTGCAGCGCGCTTTGTCGGGCTACATGATTTTCGGGCCGGTAGTACAGCAATCTCCATACTAGTATAGCAGTATTCAGTGTCGTGTCGGGGTTTGTGTACAAAAATACAACCTCAAAATATAATTAATCTCATAATAAATAATATAACAGCATAACAATAAATAAGATATCTCATAAAATATACATAAAATATAACAACATATATAAAATATATATATATTCCAAGAATTTATTGCTAAAATTTAACTTGAATAAAAGTAAGTAATTGCAGCGAAAATGAATGACTCTTCGTCAGAAGGTTTTACCGACGGAGAAGAAATATTTAAATTATTTGACAAAGAAGCAAAAGATATCATCAATAGTGAAACATTACCAAAAAAATCGGCTGATCGGTACCTTTTGAATTACAATGCCTATAAAAACTGGAAAGAAAAAAATAAAAATTGCCTCTCGGCTCAGAAAAGAACAACTTAATTGTTTATTTTGAAGGCTTAAAAAAAGTTGAGTCCATTAACTATATGGAGTGTGTGGAGCATGCTTCAAAGTACATTAAGTTTAAATGATGACATTCAGATAGACAATGGCTGCGTTCAGGTTTACTAAGTTCTGAGTAGGGCTGACTTTATCTACCAAAAAATTAATATTTAGACACACTGAAATAAATATACTTTGCATTGTTTTATTATAGATTTTTTTAAAAAACAATATAGTTACTTTAAGTTGTTGCTACAAAATATGCTAAGATCTGCCAAGAACTTAGTAAACTTGAACGCGGCCAATTTCTTAAAATTAAAAAGCATTATTAAAACAAATGCTATAGGACATAAGTCTAAAGTAAAAAATCTTTTATTTTAACATGGGAACAAATTAAACAATATATGAATGAAGCTCTTAATGATCAATATTTAGCAATAAAGGTAATAAAAGAATATTTACATATTCGCTTTTCAAATTAAATGTCTTCATTTTCACTATTCAATTGTACGTATCATTTAATTACAATTTTTACAGGTTGTATTAATATTTGGAATATGTGGCTGTATGCGATGTAAAGAACTAACGGAAATGAAAGTTGAAGACATAAAAGATTTAAATGAAAGATATTTAGTAACAATCAATGATAACAAGAATGATTATCCCGGACAATTCCTTATTGGCAATCTCTTTTACCCTATCGTTAAAAAGTACATTGTATTAAGATCTGGTAAATTTTCTGATAGATTTTTTATTCACTATTCAGGGGGTAAATGTCCTCGATCGCCTATTGGACGTCATACAATAGGAGCAATGCCTAAAAAAATTGCTACTTATTTAAAGCTGCCCAATATTAAAAGATACGCCGGCCATTGCTTTAGAAGATCATCTGCAACATCTCTCTTATTCTGACGCTAACATGCAGCTAAGGAGATGACGTTCAGATACAATTGCCCAGGGTTATTCATTATATAACAGAAAATTCATTACATAACAGGCAGATGATTTTTATTTAGACTAATTCAGAACGAGACCGCAATAGATACTCAACCGCAACCATCAACCAGTAAAGAAGGAACTATCAACCCTCAAACAGTAACTACCATCCCTCAACAAAAAAACCAATAAGATTGAAACAGAAATTAATAATTTAAATTGGTTAGACTTTGATGACGACTTCATTGTTAATGACGTTGAACCGATTTCAAGTCAGTAAACCAATAATACTCACTTATCTACCAAAACACGTTTATATCCCACCTCTAATTCATATCGTATTTTTCAGTTAAAGCCGTTATAAATAGTGGTTTCACTACAGCAAGTAAAAAACCAATTTCTGTAACAATTAAGACTCACAAGAAACTAGAAATTAACAATAATAAACACCATTCATGGCCAAATAAGGGGTAAAATTAACTTTTCTAAATCAAACACATGTTCAGCCTCCACCAGCTAAGAAAAAAAAAAGAATATTGACTATTTAAATACTCTAAACCCTAACAAACTACACTTAGCATAAAAAAAAAAAAAAAACAAGATTTAACGTTCGATAATTGTACTTTAAATAATTGCGTTTTTAACGTCACCAAATGTAACTGTGATAAGGAAAATATTCCTCAAAGTGAGACGAGAATAATCTCAATGTGAAACTATAAACTAATTAAAATCTATGGTTATATTATGTTATTATTTACATAATTCTCGGCTTCGACTCGGTTTTGCAAAAAAAGCACCTACTGCATTATAATTAATAACTACAACCTAGTTTTTATAATAAAATTGAGACAAATGATAATAGTAATACTTTTTTTCATGTATTAACCTTATTATTGTTAAACGTAATTCCGGTGGAGGATCAAGAAAAATAGTATAAGACCCACGGCCAAAAAGTGGGATGCTCTGACGTATGTGATATGATGGCCGAGGCGAAACCTAGGGACGTAATATACTAATTTGTCAGCGTAGATTAATGTTAACTTAATTAAGATAATAATTAATATTTTATATTTTAGAAAATCTGAACATAAGTGCTAAAAGACTAATCCCTATAATTAGAATGATAATCACAATAACCAATCAAAGAATGTGTGTTTACACATATATAAAACAACTTTTAAAGATAATTAACTAACGTTGTAAATAAATACTAAAATTATATGTTGTAAAGTACAACATTCAATAAAATTATCTTAATCCAAAAATTATAACTCAATTTAACAGAGAATATCTTACCTCACAAGGTAATAAATGCGTGCTACATAAGTTACCGTTGTATTTTCAAATTCATCAAACACAAATTCTAGACCGGATCTCACTGGCTATACCCTCGTTTTTTGTTAAATAAATAACAACTCACATAGTACAGCAGGTGAAGTCGTAGGAGGTTCTTTTGAGTTTTCCCGAGTTTTCCACTCGTCCCTAATGAATAAATCTTTACCATAACTACTTATACACATTTATAAGGCCGTAAAGTAACATAATAAAGGAAGTAACACGTAAAGAAAAGAGATAAATGTCTGTTAAACCGCGCACGCGCTCTTACATCAAAATATATTACGCATCATCTTAAACGCGGCTTAATTTGAGGAAAACATTGTACTACTATGTTACGATTGCTGTGAATTAGTTGCATTTAAGTTCAGCAAAAACCTTCAGAAGCGTAGGAACAATTAACTAATAATTATGCTTTTATTCGAAGAAAAGAAACTATTATTTTTGTTATCTTATAAGTGGTAAAAAAAATTACAATGAATCAAAGTGGTTGAAAAATTCAAAGAATTTAAAAATAAACCACTCATATTGAATGTGATTACTGATTAAACTGGAATAAATAAGGCTTTAATAAAAAAAACATTTATTCTTACATTACAGTAGAGAATAAATCGGTCTCATTTGAATTCTCGCGGTTATTATGCGTATAACTCGAATGCGACTAGACCGGCATGACAATAGACGATGTAACAACCGGGGGTCGAATTCTTTTTAACTACAATACTGTTTGCGACGCGTTACAGGAAAGTGAAACTCTCGGAAACTAGGTCACACCCACACCAGAAACGCCGTACTTCAACCTGAAAGTTTAAATGTAACTCACTGATTTTAGGCACTTTACTCTTGTACTATACGTAGACATAAATTACTGATGTAAAACAGTGTTTTTTTTTCTCAATAAATTGTTAAACATTCTAAAAGTGATTTTTTTTAATCTAGATTTTTATAAAAGATCTATAACAAAATACTTGAAATAAAAATATGCTCAAAAGAAATTAACACATTTTTTCGTTGTCTAAATTTGACTTTTAGGCACTTCTTACAAAAAAAATTGAGGTTGAGAAGGGATAATCTGTGGTTGTACATTCTCTTACTTACATTTCTTGAGTTTCGTGAACCGCCAGACGAAATTAGAGAGGTTTCTTTTCTTGTAGAATAACTTTACAAAATTCTATAAAAAAACACAGTTTTCATTAAACTTTTCAATTTGGGAGGATCAAAAATTTTTTTATTAATCACAAATTTTTTTTTCTGAAGCTAATTTTTTATTTATTAACATCGTTTTATTTATTAACTTTGTAAACAAATAAAAAACTAAGTTGATTAACATTTTAAGGAATGTAAGAAGAAAAACTTCAATAACATATAGTTTAATTATTTTAAAAAACGTATTGAATAAATTAATTGAGAGTATATATTAAGTATTTTTTTTTCGCAAAAAACGTTACATTGTGCAAAACACTCAATAAAATTAGATGAAACATAATATATAATAAAAAGAGGAAAACAAATTGTATCTATACGTGTACGTAAGAAGGTGTTTTGTACCTTGAATCTGCATGCATGCTTACCTCTTATCAAACTTATTGTCTTACATAACGCAAAATATTTTGAATGATTTAGATGAATTTATAGAATATAAAACGTATTTATTCTTCTCAGTTAATTGCAGTAAAAGTTTTAACCTGTAAAATAACAGCATATTATATGTAATATTCTAGAATTAACAAAACGATTTGAATGTAATTATAAAAATTAAAGTAAAAGTCTTAAAATATAACATGTGATTGGTAAAGGTCATCAATTCAATGACTGGGTGATTTATTCTGAGATGTAGATTATGCGTGTTGTGTATAACGCATAACACTTAATTTAAATAGTAATTCACGACGTAATCTCGATCAAGTTGATCGTAAGTTCGCGAGAATGATTGGAAGGAAATTACATATTGTCATATGGACATAATGATCATGCTTTAAGTGATTTATTAATGAATGGATCAACTTTTAGTAGTAATAAATTATTTTATAAACAATTTATTATTATCATTATTATTTATTTTTATTTGCATTATATTTTAGACATTTGACTATTGTACTAAATAGCAAAATGCACATAACCTGTGGTGTGGGCCTGATAAGTTAAGTAGTTAGGTGTCATTGAGGCCAGTATGTAACAAATTACGCAAATAAACTCGCACGTTCCAAATACGATTAGTACAATGATTATATTTTCTCATGTACATATTGTTAAAATCATTTACACTAATTATTAAACCTAAATTCGTCAATTGTATTATAATTTTATTTACTCTATTTTTCATCTTGATTCAAGACAATTTACCCTCTTCAAAATTATATTCTGGGTTCAAGAATTTTTCTCTTGAATCAAGTTAATTTTTTTTCTGTGTAGAATTTGAGAATCTGCGTCGAATACTGCCAACCGCGTGAAAATTGGTTCATTTATTCCGAAGTTATTGCGGTTTGAAAATTCAAAAAATAGTGTTTTATGAAACTTCCATCAGACTTTTGAGCTCGAAGAGCTCAAAAGCATAAAATAGCTTACTCCGTGAGCTCGGAGGGCTCAAAATAAGACATAAATCATATCTTTGAGCTCGACGAGCTCAAAAACGTCATGAGTGCAATTTTACGCGCTTAGATATGGAATTATCAGGAAGTTGCAGGGATGGCCTTTGGGGTCATCCGTTTTCCTAATTTCTTTCCTTCTATTCGACCCTCCGTAACTTTGTTTCTGTTGAGTTTAGAAAAAAAATAGACATTTAGACATGGACAATTTTGTAGAGAATTAAATTTCCTATTAGAAAGTCAAAAGCAAAATAAAAAAAAAATTTATTCGTGTAGTTATTTCAAAAATAAAAAAAAAGAAATTTTACAATGTTATTGAAATGGGAAAGGAGACCTCCCCTTGCACCAGCTCAATATTTGAGATATTGAGTTCAAACTTTTGGAGAATTTTTTTTTTTATTGAAAAAACTTTTAAGATACTTTTTATCGAAAAAAAAAGTTACTTTGACACAGTCTATAATCTATAATATATATGTATACATATATTTTAGGTTTAAGAAGTATCATAAGTACAATAGTAAATTATTCAAGGTATAGGACAAGGAATATATTTGGAAGTGGTAATTTCGCGGAACGACCTGGCCGCATTCACGTATCAAGTGCATCACACTGCTAGTTTGTACACAAACATTTACCAGCAAAATGTCAACCACACACTAGTTAATAAAACCAATATAACTAAACTTCGGCAGTATTTGCTATACTTAATTATAGTATTGCGCGCTCTATGTTTTCATAGATAACTGTATGTGTATGTAAGCAACAAGTACACTGACAACCTAACAAAATGACGTACGTATGCATGCGTACAAGAAACTTGGAACGTGCACTCGAGTGGGTGAACAGTATTTTGGCAGAGTTGGCCCTAACCCATATAATGTTAACCAGAATAGAGCCTAGACAGGTAGATAAATAGATGACTTAAATATTCTTATGTATAAATACATTTTAATATAAATAGACACATCAATTAAAAACTTTTCAACTCACTAAAAATTAAAAGTCAACTTTTATTTATTTAAAATATAATTATTTAGAAAATAGAAATTTACTTCATTTTTATAAATAGAAAAAAATATAAATTATTTTATAAGATAAAATTGTTGAAATATTATCATCATATTAAATAATTTTTCACTGTGTTGCTAATTGGTTGAGAGTTGGACGCTTGTTTATAAAATTAATGAACAATTTTAAAATGACTGTAAAATCTTTACGAAATCCCGACCTCGTCTTGAGCTTCTAGACACTGTGGCATCAAAACTTTACATA